CAGAGGTAGATGGTCTTGTTAGAGCTATGTTGTGCGGTAGCTGCGATACCAACCAGGAGTATGTTTTAGGTTCTTGGGTGGGAGGAAGCCTGGCAGAGACAGACAGGTTCACACTCTAAGCTCTGAGACACTCAAAGTGAGTGTAGTTGCATTGTTTTCCATGAGGTGATGATTATGAAAACTTTCCACTCAACCCCAACCAGTCGAGGCAGAAGGCCGCCCACCTTGAATTGGGGTCTGTCTGAAGTTTCTTCCTCTAAAGGGAGTTTTTCCCTCTCCACTGTTAAGTGCTTGCTCAAGGGGGATTTGTTGGGGTTTTCTCTATACTGAGATGACTTGTGATTTGGCGCTATACAAATGAATTGAATTGTCCTGTCAAATGTACAGGTTGACACTATGTAGAATTATTTTTCCATCCACAGCTGTCTGTGCGGAGGCATAGAAATGTAAACTACTGTCAAAGAAGCATCAGGTATTTCTTAACCACACTTTGTTTAAAATCTTAATTCATAAACATTGTAACTGAAATGAATGTATAGTGAAGACTATATGAAACGGAAGCATGTTTCTGCCAAATGTTTATTGATGGGACGGGGTCAGTGCTGAGGTCAGTGTTTCAGATTCTGGAGTCAAAAGTTCAGGGTTCTCCTCAGCACCAAGTACAGTGCATGTTGTTTCTCTTTATAAGCTTGTCTTTTTCTGATAAGTGACTACTAGGTTAATTTTGCTTTTATAAGAACAAACATAACATTCAATATATTGTATAACTCAAGCTGCACTGACTTAAATTTAACATCTGGTTAAGTTGTAGCAGTAGTACATTAAGTTGGGTTTAGTGCAATAAACTTTTATAAGACTGGGTTGCTGCTAGCTGTCATTCTGCTTCTTTGGCCACATGTAACCTGTATACAAAGTCCCCAAACTCTTTAAAAAAAAAAAAAAAAAATCAGGTAGTGTACGTCTTTATTAGAAATGAACATGCATCACGAAACTAATTTCTTGAATGTCAACTTCTGGTAATTTTGCCTGAAGTAGAAAGACCTTGTTAATAAATATAATCTTTAACATTAGGTTCCTGCTGCTTTGTCATCTGTTTAAGATTGATTTTCAGCCACAGTGTATGCTTGTATTTCCATATAGCCATCATAGACTGATATGTTAATCTTGCCTTAATGTTTTTAAAAAACCATGGCACTACCAGTGTGCAAAGCTTCTGATGGTACCCCCAGGGGTCATCAGTTTTAATAACCTAGCTCTTGGAGCTTAAAGTGACCATAAAATTCAGTTTTTTTCAGTCTCCAGGCATTACAGCTGATGTTATTAAAAGTTATAGTTCTTAAACCAAAAACAATGCAAAAAGTTAAAGGCAACAGTTAAGGGAGGACAATGTCATCTTTGATCACACAAATAGTCTAAACAACAGCAAAAAGACAATTGATAAATTGGAGATAAGGTCTCCAGTTTTTGGTGAATGCTTCCATATAATCAATCTTTTGTATGATTAAAAACAGTAGTGGTCACAGTATAGTAGGCTACTTTGTTAATTTTACTTTTGAGGTTCTGTTTTTGTCAATGCATCTCGAGTGCCATCTGTCAGATGCTATTTTCCGGAATTTTCTAATATAACATGAGCAGCCGGACGAAGCAGAGGTTTGGCTATGCGAGATTAGAAAAAGCGCTTGTGTGCACTTTAGATCCATAAAGCTGGATACTGGACTGAAACATGGTGCCCATTCTGTGCAATTAAAGTTGCTCACCCATATAATTTGTGCTCAATCTTAAGGTTGGCAGAATAAGAGCAGAAAACAAAGCTGGAAAATTGTAAAAAGGCTGTGGCTCTCTAGATTAGGTATCCGGGCTGTAGGAATAGGCTTGGTCTTAAGGAATGCGAGCAGCTGCAGCCCAGAGGCCAGACATAGAGTATTGAAACCACTCTGCAATGTTGGGGTGGGGTGTGACACCTGTTGTTCTTGAACCAGGCAGTTATCTCAATAATATAATTGTAGATTTCCATGAGTTACACTGAGGCATATTTGTTTGAGCGTGGATGATTCTGTGATTTGGATTTTAAAGTTATTTGCTAATGTGGTGCTGTATTCAAATGAAAACAGGTCCTCAGCTGTTCCATTCCTATGGCCTTGTGGACATGAATGGGAATGACTTTGCATTGCATTAAAGCCAACAAATGACTTTTAACCAGGAAGCTCTGATTTAATAATAATACTCATAATTTGTTTACACATGTGCTCAGTATGTTCACTTTGAACAAAAACTCCCCAATACATGCCAACATGAGTGTGATTCTCATTGTAACTGCCTAAATTAAACTATCAATCTCATTGCACAAAATTCCAACATTTTCCATTTTCTTTAAATAACTAGAAACTTATAAATGGCATATCAAGAAAGTATTGTAACAGTGGTGATCAAGTGATCAGTCAAAGCATTAATTGAATATTAATTAATTGAATGACAAACTTATCAGTAACTTTCCAAACAAGGTAGCTATCACTGAGCTAGGGCCAAAACTGTCTCTACACAGGCAAATGTGAAGCATTCTTTAAACATCCATAGTAGTATGTGCATGATCAAATATAATTACTCAGATTACACAAGTAAACATAGTCGTCATCTCAAAGTAATAAATGTCAAAGTATCTAGTGCTATTTAACTCCATCAGACACTGAATCCAAATAGTGTAAATATATGTAAATGTGACAGATTTTTTTTTGTTTCTGATCCTGAAAAACATCATCAGGGCTTATACACACCCATGAAATGTTGATTGAGAAAAATGTACCACTGTAAACAAATTCACCACTCCTGCCTTCCATCTGAGTTTTAATGAACCCTAGTACCCTTGGTCCACTGCCTGACAGACAAAATATCTCTCCTCCCTTACCCCTGCTCCCTTTCCAGATTAGAGTTGAACTGGTCTGTGAGTCTATTTTTGTCAGCTGCTCCCGTTGAGGCTGATGGTTTGGGCTCAGGCTGAATTGCCAGGGTGATGATGTAAACAGACTCAAACACACACATGGCTGGCTGGTCAGGTTCATTATGGAGGTTGTAGGGAACCTCATAAACACAAATATGATAATTCAAATTTACATTACATTTACTTAAACCTTTACATTGCAGGGATTCCGGCAATTCTTTTACAGAATGACTTTAGTTGAGTACAACAAGTCTGCCTGTTGATATTGAATGCTACCATTGTGCAAGAACTTATCACATGTTGCAACACTGTCTGGTATTGCCTTTCAGAATACAGACCGTTTCCTTTACAAGTCCACTCTCAGTAGCAGCTGTCATACCGGCTAGCTACTAGTTTGCTACTATATATCATACTGTACGCACATACTACCATGTCTAATGGAGGAACTGAGATGATGTCTCCCAACACTGTCACTCCTAATGTGTGTGTGCTGCATATGCATTGGTGATTTATTTAACAGCTATGATCATTAACTACTTCACAGGTTAATGAAGATATACATACAAACTGTATTATTAACTTATAAATTTAGAAAATTGTTAGAGAAAATACCTGCTTCAACATAAAAATGCTACTTACAGTACATCTTAATGCAGCAGTAAATATTACCCATACCATTTACAGATTACTTGTAGCACATTTTGCTAGGTGATATTTCTATAGTTTCCTGAAGTAACAAAGTGAATGTAGGACTTTTGTTGTAATGGAATATTTTTATATATTATAGTTGTTTACACTTAAGTATTTACTTGAGTAGACAGCAGCTTTTATGTGTTCTACATGTACATCCACTCACACTAGCTTATATGCATTTGCAAGAGTGTGCATGAGTGCCTCACTCTGTCTATGAGCTGTCTAGTTAATGCCCAACTAAAGACAGCAAAGACAATGACACTAGGTTAAAAGTTAAAATTGGGAAAATTGACCAGACAGCGAAGGCTTACATGATATATCTGAGAAATATAACCAACGCTTCAACCCACTGGACTTCTTCAGGGAAAGTAAGATACATTACTTGTGGCAAGCAAACATTGATGTGCTCAGGTATGAGATGTGAGCTTGCCACAAGCAATGTATCTTACTTGCCCTGAAGAAGTCTGGTGGGTCAAAACGTTGGTTATATTTCTTAGATATGTCATGTAAGCCTTCAGTGTGTGGTTGGTTTTCTCATTTATGATTTAGTTTCTCATGACCAGCACCTATCTTTTAGGTGTGCATTCACGCTAAGTCAATTTCATTAGTCTACTGAGTTAAAGGCTGACACATGCACATTGGCCCAAGAGTCATAGTTCTTTCTAAGCAGACTGAGCAGACTCACACAGAAATAGACTGCTTTGCTATGATCATATACTGTTTAAATCAAAAGCAACCTCTGAACTCATAGGTAGCCTATAGGCCGACATTGCCAGTAAAACACAAATACTATGAACATATTAGCCTACCTAACATTACAATATTTTGGCACAATGCCAGTTTCACAGTGCAAGAATACTGCCAGGACCAAGCCTAAAACATAAACATGCAAGGAAAAGTCTGACATCTGCTGGGAGGAAACCAGTAATGCACTTTACTCAAGCAGGTGCGCAATCATCAGGAGAATAAAACACATCGATAAACATTATATAAAATAAACACTAAATATTTAATATCCAAATACTTGCCAATTGAAAATACATGTATTTGATATTGTCTAAGATAACGTGTAAGATTTATGAAGTTTCCATAACTTTAATAACTTCTAAACTCAAATTCCAAGTGCGACACAAACTAGGTAAGTATTTAATGATTAACATCTTTAGTCACTCTTCTTAGGCATTCTCTCCACTCCTATTAGTTTCGTTACTACTCGGTAATGCAAACATTTTCTTATTGTTTCAGCAGGTCAAATGACCAGGAGTCATTCATGGCTCTGGTTTTGGACGATGTGAGTAGCGGCTCCCGTAGCAGCCAATCGCGTGTTTTGTTGCCAACTTCCTGTGCAGTACGTACCCTAAAAATGACGTAACGTTCGGCAAACGCAATACGTACCGTTTTTCCAGAGGAGAGTGGGAGGCTGTCACTGCGGCAAAACACAGAAATTATAACCGACGATAGCAGGAGTTTCGATATAAGCAGACATTGTTGCTTTTGTACAACAGACTTGGGTGTTCGTTATTTTGAGGTAGGTTCTCCAAACATATCCGTAACTCTTATTTTTATTTGTTTAGGAGCCTAACGTTAGTCATAATGAACTCAGGGGGCTGAGAAATGGAACAGTGCTAAGTTAGCTCCAAGTGGATTGTGGCCTGTAGATTCCACTTCTCTTCGGTTTGAATGACCGAGTGTCGGAATAATATTGCTATCAATCCTGATATCAAGAGCCTAACACTTTAATGCTAGACTTAAGGTAATATCCAATTATTGCCAAATTCAAATTAATATTTTGGGGCAAAATATGTCAGTTTATTTTGCAGCAACAAAATCTTGTTCAGAGTATAATTTTTTTTGTTTGTGTCGTGAATTAATCGATCTTAGTGCATGTATCTACGTGTGGGATAGCCTGTTATCTTCCTAATTAGGTCCGATGGGTGTCTTCCTATAGCACCCAGCCTCTCAGTACGGTGGCGTTTCCAGATAGACAGTAAACATAGGCTGCCAGGTTACAGATGCATACTAATGAAATGAAGCTCCGTTTATATAAACTCGCCCAACATAGACCTATTTTCCAGGCTTACCTGTCTGGGTCAACATTCTAGAGATAAAACTAAAAGATGTGTTCATGTGTGATATTTTTACAGCAGGTATGACCTCAAAGTTGACATCGTATTTTGGTAAACGATCTTTAAATTTAGAAATTAAAACAAAATAAAATTTTGTTCATTCATGTACCTTCTCTCAGTACCCTGTCTGATCATTGTAGTCCACTTGTATTTCATAGCCAGAACACTGGTATTTATTTATGTTATTGCAACAGTACCTGGGTGGGTTTCACTGAGATTTGTTTGATCTGGCACTAACTTCTTTAGTTTACAGAGCTATTGTTTTTGATATGAGTTAATTCAGCTAAGAGCCTATGTGTGTGTTTTGTAGACTGATAAATTCTGATATTACAATATCTCACTTGTTGGTTAATTGACAAAACCTGCTTATTCTTTTGTCACTGTGTACAATGCCATTAATTGCAGAAGGATTTAATAGACTTAGAGATGCGCTGCCTGCATGTGTCTGAGTCTGTACATGCTATTATTACCATTATACTGTTGTGGAAACACTTAATGCCCTTCCTTTTTTCCTGAAGTGAAAGGGAACAAAACAAATGACAGGCAAATGAACACACACACACACACACACACACACACAAACTGAGCCAGCTGTTATACGAGTTAAAACATTGTATATAATGTCTCTTCAGAATTTCATAACACAGACTAGTGGAAATTTACAATTTATGGGCCCATAAAAGGCAAGGTGGCCTACAAGGTGAACTTTGAACATTACTGGTGTCAGATTACTGATTATTGTAAGGACGTCCATTCTCAGTCTGTAGTCAGTGGTGAAACTCTCACTCACAAATGACATATGAGCCGTTGCAATGCTCTGACAGTCATGTTAACATGGGGAGGCAGAAATCTGGTCATTTGTGTTATTTTATTACTACTCGCTGCCTCAAGGTACAACAAAAACAGATCATCAGGGATTGTTCTGTTCCTTCTGGAGCACGGTAACTGTGGCTACAGAAAGCTTGCCAGCTGTCAGTAGCTTACGAACACCTTCGTGTGTGTGTTTATAACAGAATAATAGGAACACCTGTTAGTTTAACCCAATGCAAATAATTAGCACAACAGACTAAAGCCTCCATAATGACCACACATCTGATTCAGCACCCATCTGAAACAATTTTAACACAAATTAAATGTAACCTTCATGAAGGAGGCTCTATCGCAGGACTGCCATTTTAGATTGCATTAGCTTTAGTTAGTTATACCTTATACAGAGCCAGCTAAATGTACAATGAGACAAAGGAGAGGTGGAGTTGCAGTCCTCTATCTTAACCACTTTTTTGTGCCTGTTTACCATGAGCAAATCTAGTGAGGAAGGCTAGCATGAAGGATCTACCTTATCGGAAGCCATTAGTGGTGGCCTTCCTTTTCATGAAGTCTCCAGAGGAAAATATAACCTTTAGACACTCGGTTGATAAACATTTATTGTACTTTTCAGAATGAGCTCAAAATTAAAAACAGTTCTTGGACAAGCAACAGCAAAATAAAAAAAAAAAGGTTTCTTAAGTCATTTTTACTGGCTCACTTTCACCCACCCCATAGAAACACAATATGACTAGGTTCCTCCTAATATGACATGTCACTAGTGTTACATTTACTGAGTGTGCATATGAGTAAGGGGGGAAAACCAAGTGTGAAGCTACAATGAGTAGAGGCCTGCACTGTCATTTCTCTTTCCCATGGTTCATTTGATTAGTTTCATCTTGCACACTGTGTATCAGCTTCCACTTTTTGTAAACGCTGTGTGTAAACAGTAAGATAATTGTGCTTATCTTTGGTGGGGGTGGCAGGGCTTGTGATTGACCACTGATCCAACAAACTATAAAATAATATGCAGTGCTTGTCTGTCCTGTGTGGCTGTGGAGACCATGATTGTTTGCCATATGAGTCTGCAAAAGCATGAAATGGCAGGAGTTGGGTTTATATGCTAGGTGCTTTTCTGTTCTGGGAATTGGTTGCATCATTTTTGGGCCTGTCTAAATGGACACGTTACCAAATGGAACGCTGGAGGCTGAATTGCACATACACAAGCATAGCTAGACACACACAAACACATTTTACATGGCCCATTTAATGCCACATCCGTTACTTTTATAAAAAAAAAAAAAAGAATAAAAGCTTATTCCCATTTGAAAATATAAAAAGAACTGCAATAATGATGAATTGTTGGATAGACTTTGCAGAACAAGAACATCTATCGCAAGCTCTTCAAATAACAAAACCATCACTGCAGTACAAGAATATTTTATTGGTTAAAAATTAGCACTACCATTCAGTGAAAATATTTGATTGTGGTTAATCGCATGATTGTCTATAGTTAACTTACCATTAATCACTTTTTTTTTAACATTAGCTTTAAACAGTGGTGGAAAGTAAGTAATTTACTTAAGTACAATTTTGAGTTATCTGTACTTGACTGTTTTCACTTTCTGTTGCTTTATACTTTGACATCACTACATTCATGGAAAATTCACCATCTACCCAGCACTAATCCAAGTCAATCAGACTACAGTCATAGCTGTCAAGTCATCCAAAATACTCCTTTTTTTTGGTTCATTAATAATAACTTACTAACTACAAATGTATAAGTAAAACTACCTCTTGCACACAAATCAGCCATCAGCCTATATCTACATAAAATGACAAAAAAGGAAAATTCTGATTTAGATTTTTACTCGTTTGGTTCATGTCCCAGCCACTAATGTGGAGTGGGTGGGGTTTATGACCTATACTACAACCAGCTTGGCTTCACTTCTGGGAGCTGTCCCATTGTCTTCACTGTGTCCACAGACTAATTAAAATAAAGCCTTCCTGTTTTCTTGCATTTCAGGTGATTGTGCAACAAAGAGATGAATTTTGAGCAGCCCCCTCCATACCCAGGCAGTGGCCCCACTGCTCCAGCCTACCCAGCCCAAGGCCCACCTCCACAAGGCTATCCGCCTCAGGGTTATCCTCCACAGGGATACCCTAACATGGAGCAGCCTAATTCAGCATACCCTAACTATCCTGCTGGGCCAATGGGCCCTGCAGGTCCTTATCCTGGCCCAGGACAGCCTCCTTATCAGGGGTACCCTGGACAACCACAGTATGGCTGGCAGGGAGGTCCCCCTCCTGGGCCTATGTATGGGGAAGCACCCAAGAACACAGGTAAGTTGTAACGCACGACAGAGTTTGATGCAGATATGTACAGTATTCATAATGGTCTTGGTCTTATACTTGTATAGCGCCTTTCTATGCTTTTACAGCACACTCAAAGCGCTTTCACATTATTTGGCCATTCACTCCCAAGCACTCATGCATTCACACACCGGTGACATCACCAGGAGCAACTGGGGGTTCAGTGTCTTGCTCAAGGACACCTTGACATGTTGACTAGACAAGCCGGGAATCGAACCGCTAATCCTCCGGTTAGGAAATAACCCGCTCTACCTACTGAGCCACATAATGGCATCATATGGCATCATAATAAAATGGTTAGAAGATCTCTGATAATATGAGAAGCTCTATTCTGGGTAACATGTTAATTGGGAATAGGGAGGGCTACATCGACCAAGTCCTGACAGACTGCTGTGGAAATCTGCTAGTTTATTGACTGCTGACTACTAATTGCTGACTTTGGTTGTGATCATGAGTTTGTTTTTGTTTTATAAAAAAAAGTTAAAGTGGACACATTTCACTAAAATGAATTATTAAAATTGACGTTTTCCCGCAATAGCACTGAGCTGTGCCTTCTTCATTATCTGTTATTTCTCAAGCTAGACAATGTGTTGGAAGACTTGTTATGTGAATCCACACATTAAAGAATCTATGGGTAAATTCTGTGACTAAAAAAAGATTTGATTAGAAATTGGAATGTAATTTATATTTAGAAGTAAAATAATGCCATGTTTTGGAGGAGGGCTTTGTGCTAATCTTTAGTGTTCCTTCTATAATCAGGTTTTAAATTGGAAAATGTTTGTCAAGTCACAGTCGGCACTAAATAGAACTAAAACACTACAGACATGTGGCAGGTTGATTAACAGGTTTTTTCCCCTTTAGGGAACTCTCTGCTGTAGAGAGTTTTAGTAAATTTCCTAGGACACTTGTGTTATGTGATTCTCCAGTGTTTCTGGAACTGTAAAATGCTAATACTTGTAGTATGCAGAGTAAGCAATTAAGGATTCAAAAGTGTGAAATCAAGCCAGATTTAAGATAAAAGGTGTTAATGCAGTAGCACCTTGCAACTGAGCATCCAGATGAAACAAAAAAACTGTGAAACAAAAGCATATTTTAAAATATTCACAATGAATATGCAGAGAGAACATATCCAGGGGAGCACAGTTCTCACATTTATATATTAAAGCAAATAGTGAGGTATTACTGCTGTAGCTGAGTCAAGATAAGGCTCCTTTGGTTGATGAAAGGAGGCTGTTCTCTATTGACTTTTTTGCTGTGAGTCATTTTGATAAAACTGTTCATTATTAAATGCTGGCCAATCATTATCACAGCTCAGGTATGATAAGTTGTTAGCTAGCTTCACTTTTTCTATTAACCAGAAGCTGGTCACCTTTGATACATGGTCATTTATGGCTTGAGTCACTGCACCTGGCTGTTAAATGCTGGAGGATCGTTTTCCTCCAAATAAAAGATTAATCACAAACACAAGGAATGAGATGTGTATTCATTCAGGTCTGTTGTTGGGCTAGTGTTTTTTTTTTTGTCTAGAACAGATGGCACTCCACGCAGATGGGTAACATAATCCTTTCATGGGACTGATTTAGGTGTAGTGACACAAGGTGAATTACAGTGGCTGCTGTACTGTCTTGTTGGAGTATGGAGGTGTGTAGTCTTGAAAGCTCTCATTTCATCTGCACAGTAAAGCCCCTTTCAGACACCGGATACATAATATTGCTGGCTTCATCAGTCTTTTAAGGTGACAGCTTTGTCTCATTCAGTCATAGATCACTTCTGCTTTAATGTTCCTCACGGCTTCATTCAGACATGCCCACGATTGTGACAGAGAGAGCTGCGGTACTGTACGTGCGTAATATCTTCAATAAGTGCAAGATGGTTGTAATCTTGTGTGTGTGTGTGTGCGTGTGCTTAACTGTTAATGGAACTGCATGCAGTTTAAACTTGTGCCGTGTTGAGAGTGATGCATAATTGTTGTTGGGTCTGACCTAGTATGATTGCCATCGCAACTGTTCGGAAAAGTGACCAGGGTGCTTGTTCAGACATGAAGTGGATGCATTGAGATGCCATCACATTAATGGAAGGGAGTGCATGTCTGAAAGTGGTTATGCTTTTGCTCAGCTGTAACGCTGTCTGATCATGGCTCTGAGCTGCTATGGTATTGCTATGGATGTGTGCCTCCCTGATGAATCTAATAAGAGGAAAATCAGAGCAGCCGTGGTTACACTTGAACTCGCTGCTGAGGACTTGACGATGCAATTCTCAGAATTATCTCTGGTTTTATGTGATTTCAGAAAAGGGAGAACCAATTGCTTTCCATTATTTTGTCTTCCTCTCTGCCTCACCTTATCAATCCTTCCTGGCTCATTTCTTTGTTCCTCCTGCATTTTCCTCCCTTTCTTTCTCTGCAGTGTACGTGGTGGAGGACAGGAGAAGAGACAACACAGGAGACACGTGTCTGACAGCCTGCTGGACTGCTCTGTGTTGCTGCTGCCTGTGGGACATGCTAACATAACACTATTTCCCAACTGCTCACTCCCATTACCCTCTTCAACCTATCATTTTCTCCCCCGACTGCCTTAAACCTTGCACTCCCATACAGCCACCCCTCCATTTCCTCTACAAGCCTTGTGCTCGTCTATAAATAAAAGCCTCAATCCCATATGGAAGTCTCTTCCCAGCGCCACTTACATGTAACTCTACCTTGATGTGAAGCCGTCAGCACAGACTGACTTACTGACCCTGTCCAGGGACTACTCTGTAGCAGCTTGTAACTGAGCTTCTAAACATGAATCTGAGGCTCTGCACTGGAATCACAATACAGGCAGCACACAGACAAGGTGAATACACAAAGATACATACACACATACAGTATACTTGGATCTCAGGCTCATCTAGTGTGATGCTCTTTGGCACTTTATGATGATTACCTCTGTAAGATACTTGCCCGTTCAGCTATCTTCCAACTCCCTAACCCCCTTCAGTTATGCTATTTACTATGCCCACGGACCCCCCCACCCCACCCCACCCTAAGGGCCACTAAGACCCTGTTTAATAGTGAGCAACAGGGTGCTCTTAAGAAGCTGCTTGCAATGTATCCCTTTCATTTGCACACTAGTAGTTGTTTATGTACATTTTCAAGAGGAATCATATGACGGTAAATTGGTTGCGTTTTTAAAAATGATACTGACTTTATGTTTGATCTTTGTTAGCATTCATTGCCACAGTGGGTTTTTTTTTGTTTCATTGTCATCTTAAAATGAAATATTATTCCAATAATTTTTACCACATACCTTTGAAGTAAATTGTTTAACAGAAGAAACTCAATGACCTGTTAGATGCCTTTTTGCTTTTAATGAGACTCTTGCATTAAAATTTATTCCCATGAAACGGAAGGCTGTGTGATTTGTGTTTGTTTGGGTTATCACAGCAGTTTATATGTATGGTGAGTGTGTAGTGTGGGGGAGGTTTATATATTATTTTGAACAGCGTTTGTTTTAATTGCTTTTTATTGAATTTGGTTTGCTCATTTCTTTAGGAGTGAAAGCTACTGCTACTTTGCCTAGGGTGTTTTTATGTCAAGAAGCCTACTTGAATTTACCACTCATCATATGGGGTCTTCAGTTTGCGTATAAGCAGTATTTAATGGTCTGGTGTACAGGGTAGGAAGACGCTACTACTAGTTTAATGTAGGTCTCATTAATATTGAGTGTTGGGTGTTTATCTTTTGTTTATTGACATTGGTTGTGGTTATTTGATTTGTGGTGGTTTTATTTTGTGGGCCTGTTTCAACCTGTTAACCAAGGCAAATTTAGTCCTGTTCAGCTCTGAGCTGTCTTCTAAATGTGTGTGGGTAGGTTTTCAAGAAGGGCAGCATCCTAGCCTTTGGTGCCAGGTTATAAAATATTGACTTGTTATTAAATTATATATTGACTCAGATAAATCCTGTTTTATTTTTTTGATAGAACAAAGGTTTCTGTGTTTTTGCAGACTTGCCTGCGGGTGGGGAATCAATTTCTTGTAAAGCGTACATGAAATCTTCAGCTTTATTTGGGAGGGTTATATTCCATGGGTGTGAGCCCCAGGGTAGTTTTGGCCTAATCTCACACACAACTGTGGTAGTGGACATGACTATTAATATTCAATACTTTGTTAAATTAGGGCGCCAAGTCCGGTCCCGGGGACTATCGAAATCTTGTCTAGTTATGGTTATTTATCAGCATAAATCATTAATCTGAATAATCAATCCCTTCTTGATCTGAAAGTCAGAAATTCTCTGTTCATTGACCAAAAATACTGAAAATAAAGATGACATAATTAAGCCAGTTGTAAGCTAAATAAATGTATTTTCAATATATACACAGGGAAAATGATTGGGATGAAAAATGCTATGGTAATAGTACAGAGTGACTGAGCAGTCTGTTATTAGTGATGATGAAAAATGAGTTTTGTCTAAAATTGTTAGATGGAGATCTAAACCTTATGGTTTAAACAATAAATTTAGAAGTGGTTTAAACAATAAATTTGGAAGACCATGATTTTAAGAGAGACATCAGCTGTTAGCCATAAGGTCACTTAGCTGTTAGCAGGAGTTAGCCATTAGCTCTGGAGATTCCACGTGGTCAATTAGGGAAGCTGTCTTTGTTCTGAGGCTTTTGGACTTGAGTTGGGGTCCGAAGTTCCAGAACGCTGTTTACGGCTGCAGCTCAGAAGGCTTTCCTTGTCTTCGGAGTGGAGCTGCCTTTCTCTGTCGTTATGAGCCGGTTTCCCAGTCTGCAGTCATGGCTCTCTACTTGGACAGTGACTCAACCAGGGTCTGTTCTTTGTACGTGGTGTTTAGAGATGTCTCACTGAAAAACCATATTTAATTTAAGATGATTGTTAGGGGATCATTCTGATAGTGTTTCTGGAGTTTCACAAAAAATCCGGCTTACTTAAAATCTACTCTCGACTTTGCTACAAAAAGTTTCTTTTGTTGCAAAACCTTGACTGAGATGATTCAGATTACAGAAATCGCAGTGTAGACAGTGGTGGGGGGGGGTGTACCCTATGTGAGCATAAGACACACTTTGGAAGTCATTTTGTTCCTAATTCACTCTATTCTTTCTGTTGGGCTGGCTGCCTATGAGGGAGTGGTGTTTGCCTAATCATTCATTCAGCTTGAGCAAAGTCTTCATCTGATTGGTTCAGATTTCTGCAGGCCCAGTCCTCTGACTGGATGAGATTCCTGTGGCTATGGCAATGGTTTCCGATTGGTTCTTTTGAAGGCACACTAAAACGTGCACGCCTAATTTACAGGTGATGGAATGAGAGATTAATCTTAAATTAATTCTGTATGGTTCATAACTTTCTCCACCATGGCTGGCATGAAGCATATATTGCGCATATAAGGAACATATGTGGACATCAATCCCACCTCAATCCAAGCAAAGTAAGGATATAGTGTGGATTGAAGGGAAGATAACTTTGGATAAAAGGAAAATAAGCAATCAGTTATTGGCACACAGTCATTAAAATGAGAATCAAAAGCCCTTACATTTTTTTTTGCTAGTATTTGGAGCAATATTCTAACTTAGTTTTGAGGTCAACCTGAAAGTTATCTTTTGTGATGTTGAGTTTCAGACATCTTAAAGACAATAGGCAAATTTAAATCAAACCTTATGGAAACATTTTTATATAAATAGGTTCAGGAATCATTTATCAGTTTAACTAAAACATTTTCTTGTAGAGATTTTACACAACCTTTGGCTAACACAATTTCATATTTTTAAATCTAAGGACATTTCCTTATCCAAGAGAGAGAGTGAGTATTAAGCCAAGTTTATGGTGGTCTCTCCACATTCTAGTGTGGGGACAGGGAGGTTCTAGTGTCTGCGTTCCCCTGGAAAAGGATCAGATACAAGGACCAACTGATTTGGGTTGTTTTAACTAGCTCCACTTATTGTCTAAGGTTAGGGTGCAAAGTCTGAGATATGTTTTATGGTGTAGTAAAAGTCCCAAGGAGCTCAGTCATTTATAGCACATTTGCAATGGCCAGGTACATCTATTTCTATCATTGATTACACAGGCTTGCTATGATGGCAAGGCTAGGCTACCATGTTAGTTAAGGTGCTTTCTAGTGTTTGCTTTGCACAGTAGAGATATTTAAAATTAATTTTCAGTGAGTCAGTCAGTATTACAGTGATTGTCCAAGCGGTATCTGGCGGTGGAGAGGGAGTGGCATACCACTTAGGATTCGGCAGCTGCCACCAGGGAGAAGCAGTATACCAAATGCCACTTGGTGATCTCGGTGTCTCTCTCTCTGAATGGACCGTACTGATTGCCTGCCATCTTTTCTTTTGTTTGTGCTCCCTGAGTTGAGACCACCAATAATTATTCAGAGTGAATTCTAGCAGATAGTTGTGGATTTAAGGGTTAATTTTACATTAGTGTGGCCACTGTATTTTGAGGTACTTGTACTTTACTGGAATGTTTTTATGCCTTAATGCTATTAATGCATTAAGAAGAAAGATGTAGGCCTACATTTCACTACACTACATTTATCTTGACAAATAGCTAATTTTCAGAATACAGTTTTGAAAACACCTGCCTTCTACATCTAAAAAGAATACTATGTACTGACACAGTAAAGTTGTGTATAACCAAAATTATAATTTTGCACATCACAAAAGATAGACCCAGAGAGCTAGGGATACTGGACCTTTTTCATGGTAGACATTTGGAAAGGGAGAGCACAAGCATTACAAATTTAATTAATGGCGTGCTTTGTCTAGCATGACATGCCAAAATGTATTTATGGGTCCATCATTACAAGTGACTTCTTTTACATTATGCTGTACATAGTCATTGGATCCAATATTAACAAAAAATTATTATAATTAAATATTGTGATGAAAGGGAATGAGCCATCTCAAATTCTGCAGAACAGAGGCAAATTAACCCAGGAAAGAACAATTAGTATGCGCCATTTTGAGTTAACAAGAATGATCTTAAGGGCCACTTAAAAGCAAATTAGAATTGATTAACACATAACAAAAATACTAGACCCTCTGTATTATACATTTGAAGTGAGGAAACTGCCTTTAAGCTACTGTATCAGTGTTGATATTTTCCAAAAAAAAAAAAAAAAATCAGGAGCAAAAATGTACTTTTATAAGTAAGGGTGATGCATGATTAAGAAGAAAGGAAAAACATTGGCGGCTTTTAATAAGTGGAACTTTTCACTACATCAACAACCATCCACAAAGATTGCTTTGAAATTCTACTAATGTGAATGTATGCTATTTAAGTCTGGTGGAATTTGCTACCATAAAAAACACAAAGGTAAGATGAAAGTGAACTCCACGCTGCTCAGTTGAAGTAAACAATTATGTTTTATTGATAAGGTTCCCAGAAGAGTCTCGTTTCAGTGAATGTATAAGAATCATCCTTTTTATAATACTGATTTGGTACATTATGACATCCAGCACGAGTCTCTTCACAGTGAGAAGGATCCATTACTGCTACTGCTGTTGGGCTCTAGGACAGAAATATCTCTTCTTCCAAACAAAAAACAGTCAAAAACAACAAACTGTGGATTGATATTGTAGATATGGAATATTAGAGTGCCACAAAAATCTAGAGTAGTAAGACCAGCTAAAGATCTTGCACATTACAAGCCACTTCTTCTTAGAAATATAAAACTTGATATTCTGAACAATATTCTACTGTGCTGCATAAAGGTAGGTCTATACACTGTACATTGAAATATATTTCGAAAAAACAATTTCACAGTTTTAAAGACTTTATTTAAAGTATAAACCGTTTTTTTAAAACACTTTATTACATAAATTATTCTTTTTGAGCGTGACTATTATTTGCCCTGACAGCAAACTGAACTCAATACAAAAACAAAATGAACATTTCTTACATATTTTACAAAAGAAAAAACTCATTCAATAATGTTCATTTTGAATAGAACTGGTGACTCATTCATGATTGTCATATAGTACTAAGAATAAATAAATAAAAAAGAAAAATAAATACTAACTTAGCATGTTTCTGGACTGTGAATGGTGTGTTTGATCGCTCTGTACAGAAGTGCCTTGGTGAAAGTCTCACAATTCTACCGCGACTGAAACGTACAAAACTACGGCATCTACAGTATACGCAACATCCTGAAATTCAGTGTAGTCGGACACATATGTAGTAATATGATTCTTCTCCCCATTTCAAAATAAACAATGCTGTGTGATACCACTATCCACAAATATAGCCATCACTTTTTTGACTTTGTTTTTTTTAAAAAGTTTATTTTCTAGTCCGTTAACAGCTTGGATTTGTTCAAGGATGCCATTAGCTTGTGTGTTGCTTGTTTGGATGTGTGCTGCCAAAGCAGCAAAGGACTGGTAAGTGG